CAGTGGGAAGAATTATAATAGCAAAGAACTGGAAAATAATAACTAATCTAACACTGGACGCATGGTACAGGGAAGTTTGGAATGTAGCTTTAAATGACAAATTAACAATGGAAATGAGGGTATGCAGGGGGGAAATTAACAGGTCAGATTTTGAGGCATACTGGTCAGTCTTTATTAAATATGTCTTAGAGAGCGAAAATGGAAAACAACAGAATTTGGTTGGTCTGGAATTTTGGAGATGACTTGATTAATGGTTGCTTTATGAATACATGGTGAAGGAAATTATACATGTTCAGGCCTGGGTGGTGGGGTTATGTGTTTGTAAAATGTTCACGGTTTTGTGTTTTGTCTATTCTGTAAGTTGTTATTGTATGTAAATAAAATCTTAAACTATCAAAAAAAAATAATGAAAGCAGCACTTACTTTCTGGCTCTTTTCAGAGTCCAAATGTAAAACATAAAGATAGCACTCAGCCACAGAATATAAAACAAAGACTCATAGCAAATGTTGATACAAGAACAAGAGAACACCGTAGTCATTCCAGTTCAGTGGTCAAACGCTGAGAGTAAAGTCCAGGGTTTAAGAGTTTATACCGTAGTCAAAAGCCAGTCCAGAGATTTAAGGTTCCAAGAGTTTAGGCAACAGGTCAGGATACCAAAACATCCACAAACCTGGGGAAAAACCACCAGCATCCACCACCAAAATATGACAAATATTTTTCCCAAGATCAGTTTCCTGGCTAGCTCCTTATAACCAGTAAAACCCAGCTGCAACCTATCCCTTGCATGCCTCCACCCTTAATCGCTTTTACCTGTAAACTGTTACTTACAGATTACTCAGAAGGTTAGAACTAAGACTTATATTAACCCCTTCCATCACTGTGTTTAAGCCTGCCACCACCAACCACCATCAGCTGATCTTAAGCATATCTTTTAAACATGTATTTTTCTTCAGTTGCTGCGAATCAGTGCGGATTTATTGCTAGCGTCATTTAGCTGTCACCCTCCCCATTTTAAATCTGGTTACATGCGCATTTTAGGGCTTGTGTAGAAGGGCCCTCAGTGAGAGCAATGGATCTGGGGAAGTCTTTTGGCCAGATGTTCTGTACTTATCAAACCACTGTGTTTGCCAGTTGTGCTGCTGCCTAATATGTCTAAGAAATTAAAAGAGGTTGCAGGCTCCCTCTTTGACAGTCTGATGTGTTGAATTTCCTTCTAAACCAGGCTGTGCTCCCCACTCTGCAGCTCAGAAGAGACCTCCTTCCGAACTTCAGGTGGCAGATGATCCAAGGAAAGTCCTTCAGATACAAGAGACCACCGTTGGAGAACCGGCTCCAACGGAAGGAGAGGGTTCAGAACCTCCCCATAAGAAACAGAAGATGAATCCCGCTGGTGGGGCCCGTGAACCTTCTTGGACTCAGGAACTTTTTGCTGTTCTCCAAAAGCACGTTTCCCTTACTATAAACCAAAATATGGAGAAAGTGAGTGACATGGTGAGCAGATTGAATGGCACTGCCTTAAAGGATACAGAAGAAGCAAAAGCCCTGAGTGCCGCTTTGGAAAAAGCTCTGGCACTTTTGAGGTTCCTCTTTGAAAATGCCTGATATAAATCTGGGGTGTGAAATGGGTTTGGGGGTAGCGTTGTGTACCCAAGAAAGAAAACTAGAGACATGAAATTAGGAAAGGAATTTGCCTCTAGTAATACTGTACAACACGACCCTTGTATGCACTGCGGTTATGTTCAACACCCCAGTGTAGATTCCTAAAATGGTGGATAAAAATAAACCCTACATCTTTTAACCTTGAATGTACCATAGAATTGCACAAAAATCCTGACGATATGAAATGATAACAGGGATGCCAGGGACCTAAGGGTAGGTTTAGCATAAGAATCCTGCTGCCTCAATACTGACCAGCAACCAGGAGAGAATGGTTGCTGGTCAACACTGAGAGCACTGGGTTATGTGGGCCAAACATTGCAGAGCCCATTCAGCTACATAGCTTAGCCTTTGCTTCTTCATTTGCAAAAACAGTTTTTCTGTGTCTTCACCAGTTGAATATAATCACTGCCTTTTATATATTTGTATCTTCCAA